ACATACCTACAAATGTCTTAAATATCCAAGCAAAGCCAGTAGCAGGCTTATAGCGGCGGAGGTGATAGTGAACGTCGTATAAAATATCGGCGGGATAATAATTAAAAGAAGCGATAATGTCCCCAACGCGGTGAAAAACGAGCGCGCCATCCTTTTTATTTGATAAATAAAATTTATTTCCCAACGCCCATGCCTTCCCCGCTTCTTTGTGGCTTTTAGCTTCCTATAACCGCTGTTCTTTGTTTTAAATTTTAACATCGTTTAAAAAAATATCATTAGTTCTTTCAAATCAAGAGTTATCTTCATTTGTTTAAATTACAGTGTTCAAAAATCTCAACACTTAGCAACTTTTGCAATCTTTGTCACTCTTCATGTTCTTTCTCCAAGCTTCCGTAACAGTTCTATTCAACTGACCACAGTTAAGATGAAAAATGAATGTATGTAACATTAAGAGCCAAACCATACCAACTTTGTATACAAGTACGTGATATCTTTTCCCTCCATCACCTGTCGTCCAGTAACTAATGAATAGAAGAGATCTCGTAAACAGCGCGTTTTCGAGCAGACGTCTTCATGCAACCTCCCTTCCCTTCAACTATTAACCTTCCCGCCGCCGCTCTCCGGGGATCGCGCTAGGGGAACCATTTTTTAATGAGAGTAATTTCGTTCGCAAATACTTATATATTTTTTTTACAAAAATTATTATAAATATGATGTCACAATTAATTTATGAATTCTTTGGATTTTCAGTAACTATTCAAATTAATTATGTAGACATTTTTAGAAAAATAGTATGAGATGCTGACATTTAAAGGTGCATTAACAACTTAATTTTTGAAGCGATTATATTCTTATATATCAATATATCTTATATCATATATATCAATATATCTTATATATCAAAATTAAAATAAATTCATACTGTCAATTTTTATATTCTGTTTACTCCTTTATCTAACAACATTTTCTGGTCATGATTAAAAAATAAAATTTTGTTGATAAATTATATGAATTTAAGGAAGTATGGTAACCCTAAAACGTACCGCTTTAACTGCGCACTAAATATTCTCCCGGCGACAATTGCGATTATGAAAAGTGCACCGTTATTTATATCCTACGCCGTTTATTTTTTGTCGCCCCTTTCAAGGGCAATTAAATACCGCCAGTCTTAAAGCACTTTGCATATTCCAAGGAGTCGTAGCTTTATTATCGACTCCCTAATAAAGATAGAAAAGGTCGATGCTATAATTTTTAAGGCATTTAGTACCATCTCTAGACAACTGGGGTGAAATTTATGTGCAAAAAGAAAATCCATTTAAAAACCCAATTATTAAATTCCACATTTTGAAATAAACACGTTTTCAAGTAACATACAAGACGAGAAACAGAAGAGAGACAAGAACGATTTTTTCCTGTACCGATATTGTTATCTTGTGTCAGATTCTGATAGCGTCTCCCCTCCGACAATCTAAGCAACAGAACCACCCGTTCCCAAATTGAACCGCCTCAGATCTGTCTTCAGTAATCCATGCTTATAATTGATGTGACAATGTCAAATAAGCCCCCGATTCGGCTAATCGGAAAAATACAAATCTGTCTCCTTATGATCGATTGAAGTGTCTTCGGAGGTTATAGTCTAACGCTACCATTACTGTCTTTGATACAATTTAAGAGAACAAGGAACTAAAGACGTTAAGAGACACGGTCCATGAGATTTGTAAGTCAAATTATTAGTTAAAAAAATATAGACAAAGTGAACATTTACTTATATTCTAATACAGTATTACTAGAATGTTTATTTGTTTTATAGACAATGTTATATTTCAGTTAAAAAGCTAACTCAATATAACTATTACACACCATTACGTCTCGTAACTTCTAACTGTGAATGTGACGAGATATGGCGGAAAAATTTACTTTTTTCGCTCTTGAAATATTGGATTTTTACATTTATGCCTTTCACACCTCATAACGTAATATTTCTTGCCGTTTTCCCCCTTTTGATAACTTTTCTGTTGCAGTGGCAACATTCAAAATAAATGTTTGGCAGTTTATCATAAGAAGTCGACACATACAGCGAGGTACTGTGAGGTACACGGTTTTAACTGTAGTATGTATTAGGTACCTCCTTTAAGGGTTAAGAAGGAGGTATGCCACTTAGTTTATTTTTGTAAAAGTAAATTATTTAAAAATTACTACACATATAGCAAACTTAGTTCCAAGAAAATCATAAAATAAAATACTTCTTTTTTTAATGGCGTCTTTGTTTATTTGTTGACTGCAAGTTTTATTTTATTTATTTCTGCAACATAGTATCAAAATCAAAGAGTATACAAGGAAATTAATTAAAGAGCTAAAGCGAATGTTACCTCGAGAGGTCGACAGGAATAATGTGACCGCAGCATTTAGCGAGGGGCATCGAACGTACTCTAATGGCATCCAACCGCCAACTGGCCACCGCATTAATCCTTTACCGGCTCAAGATTAATTATTCAAACTTGGCCCGGGCCTCGTTTCGCACACGTCCTTCGCAAATTGTTTACAACTACGTCGTATCGTGTCGACTAAATGATCATCGCCTCTTTAACTTTAACGTCTTAATTCTCCCTATGAATTACGTTTAAAATAGAAACTGGACAACTATGTTGTTTTAATTGGCTCGTTAGCTTTCGAATTTGATATGAGATAACACACTCAGATGACGAATACGAAAACAAAATAATTATTGGAACCAATCTTAATACCACTCTAGGGCAGATATTCCTTAAGTTTCTTCTTTAACGACCTCTTTATTATGTTTTATTAATCCAAGATTCGTATAGGATAGCGAAATCTGTAGCTTATAGTTTAAAAATTGTACTTCCTTCAATCTTTATGAATAGTGTGTCCTATTATTTAATTGAATAAAACAAGGGTATCCACGATATTATCAAATGAAGTGCGGACAAGGCGACTCCTGACTTGACCGATGTAAGTGACCCTAATCCGCAGTAAATCTTCGCCGCTGCTTACCCCGGCTGCTAGAGGGTTAAACGAGCACACGTCGTTCTACAACCATTTATTACCCCACTTGTTTTATATCTGAACAAGGGTTTGTATTAATATTTTAAAACCTCACGATACCCTTTTGTAAAACTTAGCTAATGATCTACATTGTTGAAATCGGTTTGTTACATTTTTTTTTTGTTTTTAACTTCTTTATGCCCCATTTTCGTTAGAAATGTGAAAATAGAAAATAAAGAATTACCATCTAGAAGCAAGAGCCTATGTTTTCCCTATCGTTGTGGATATTAAAGTAAGATAGGTTAACATTAGCTATGTACTGTTTAAGTCTTTATGTCCCCTTACCCGTACATTTAATTAAGATTTACATTACATTTATTTAATTTATTACATATTACATTACATTTAATTAATTTACATTTAATAAAAATTTATAATTCACAATGAAACCATAAAATACTCCTTAATCAAAGTCAAAACTAAACTAAACTCTTTCTTTAAACGATGTTTGTAAATTCAATCGCGCTATAATTCATTTTTCTAGTGTAGCAACCCTAGCGAAAGATAGTGTTGTTCAGTGATGCGTAAGGATAGCATATCGAGATAATGCGAACATTATACGCGGCACCTCTCAAGCTCGCATAATCGCCTCTCCCACTAAGCTAACGCAAAAACACAAAGCCAACTTGCATCCCACATATTCATCATAGACGGTACAGTTCGGTGTAAAATATTAGGGTAATATTAAAATGTTTTTCAGTGACGTCGTAAAATTTTTGTACCATGTAGTAAGGTCTTAATCTTTCTGTCCAATCTGTGTGTTTAATAAACGTTTTATAGTTGAATTTCTTAAAAAAATAACATCCTACTAAGTAGAGTTCTGCATTAGCGAAATAGAAGAGAAGATAGAAAAATGACAAAAGCCATTACGTTTGTTAAAATTACAATTTTATCTTAATGTACTGTTAAGCACTTTTATCGATACCGGTACATACCCAACTTGAATCTAAAGGAGTTGACCAAGGGCTATCACAATTTAAACTTCAGTCAACTGAGGATAATTTAACATAGTTAACGTGCGTACGGTCGGCAGTTATTCAAATAATTTTAGGTTAGAAAGTGTTGTATTTTATAACACTTTTTACAGGTTATGTTTAATTAAAGAAAATTAAAATCGTTTGAAGTGATCCCATTTAAAAATTACAACGTATGTACATAACTAAATTAATACTTTATGTAATATTAAAACAAACAATTAACACAACTATGTATTCAGCGCCATTACATCGTACGTTAAGCGGGGCGGTAGAATGCAGCCAAGTGGAACCAAGACTCGTGTTTAGTTTGATTGACAGCAGCCCCCGGCCAATAGCGAATACGAAACTGACGAATTACGTCAATCAACTGCCGCCACCACCGAGCTGACCACGTTACAACAACATGCGTAGTAAAGCAAACTATCCCTTATCACGTCCGAATACGATATCTCACAACTACTATAATTATACGAATCCACGGTATACCGAGTACCCGCCACGCGAACGCTAACCCCCCATTATTCGCCGCCCTTTTGTAATTTGAATTTCGAATTCCAATTCTTATTTGTGGTATAAAAAAATAAAAAGTATACTGTTTCGACACAATGGCGTCAAGGGCGGTTCTTTGACATGCGATCAAGTTATTACATTAAAGGAAAGCTCGCCCGCGACCGCCGCTGGCCTGTTATTTCAACTTTCCAGGAATCGTATAGACCATTAATACGAAGCATGACATTTAATATAAACCGCTATAAAGTCGACGATTATTGAAAATTGCATACCTTGCTTATGCAAAATGTGTACAATATAAATAGAATATTTAAATATTTTCATACTAAAACATATTTTTAGATATTAGAGTCCGTCCGTTAAAACAAGGTCGACACATAATCTTCTACACAATGTATACTTGCAAAGTTTTATAACACGTCTTAACTAATGATTGTTTTTTTTTTGCAGAAAACGGTTTGCCACGGAGGCTGCGGACAGCCTACACCAATACGCAACTGCTAGAATTAGAAAAAGAATTCCATTTTAATAAATACCTCTGTCGTCCCCGACGCATCGAGATAGCAGCCTCCCTAGATCTAACTGAGCGACAGGTAAATAATAACGATTTCCTAAACACATAACTAAATAAAATGAGATCAATTTGTAATAACGAATTAAGTGTATATCAGGTCTTAAAATCCAAAAACAATATACACCTAGTTAATATCAAACAATTGCTATAAATGTGACAACCCCATCATTTACTTTTGTCTTTTTTTTTCAGGTGAAAGTGTGGTTTCAAAATAGACGAATGAAACACAAACGTCAAACTCTTAGTAAAAGTGAAGACGGAGACGATAAGGATTCGACGACGTCTGAAGGTGGGAAGAGTTCAAAGGCAAGAGACAAATTTCTCGACGACGATGGGCCGCTCTCGGGGAAAAAGAGTTGCCAAGGCTGTGAGCTACCGCCGGGTGCTTTGTGCTCGCCTACCGAAGATTTACCGGAGCTCACGTCACGAACGAGGAATAATAACACTCCTAGCGCGACTAACAATAACAGCTTTGCGAGTGACGGCGCTTCGAGCGTAGCTTCGTCATCTTCTCTAGATAAGCTAGCAGAAGATGACTCAAGAGATGCGCATCCAACCGCATCGCTCGCTCCAGTACCACGTAACTTGGCGAAACGAATCAAACAAGAATCCAGAAAACGTTCGCCTTCATTAGATGCAACGGGTTGCAAAGTCTCACCATCTTCTTCGAAGGATGGCCTGGTGGCGCTCGGCGGTCTTACAGACGGCGGCAAATTTTCGTCGGTGAGCTTAACCCCATCTTCAACACCCGGGACTCCTTCGGGCATGCATCAAAGTCCACTTGGGCATTATCCAAGGCCATCGCCGCCGAACGTGCCACCGGGAGCACCTCATCCTCAAGCGGTACCTAATGCGATGCCACCATATGTTATACGTGGCAACGTACCACCCGGCCAGTTCGGATCTCATGCTGATTTTCGCATGGATTCGAAACAGTTCGGAAAATTAGCTCAATACCCTCAGGGCAATAGATCTTTTGACGCCTATGGGACAACGTTACAAGGTGTCGATCAACACACATATTCGCGCAGTCAGCAGCATACTAGAACTCAAGAAGCCTCACCATCGACTAGGTCTAGCAACGGAGTCGGAAGGCAAGCTTATCCACATGAGATGTATCAAAACTATAGTTACACAGCATATGGTAAAGAGCAGGCGACCTACGGACACCCCGGATACGAGCAGCCGCAGGGATATCCCAGCGAGCATATGGCATACTCGAACAGTCACTACGGCTATCATTACCATGAGAGCGGGCAACACGAACACGCGCACGCATACTATAGTGCGGACGGACAGAAGAGCGCTCCCAATGAATATGGTAGATGGAACGACGCAAGTAACTACAGCCAGCAGGCAGCTGTGACTCCGGCGGCGTACGGCCCTGCAGGCTCGCAGCCGCCCGCACCGGCCGAGGCCTACCCCGGAGGGAGCGAATGCGCGGATGGCTACGGCTCCTTCCAGCAGTTCTACGAGGCGACGCACGGCGCGCAGGCGGCCGGGGAAAACTCCAATTCGTCGTCAGACTTCCATTTTCTAAGCAATCTCGCTAACGACTTCGCACCCGAATACTACACCATTTGAGATAAGGACTTCGCCGAGCAGGCGAGCGATCTATTTGTTTGAAGCTTTCAAATACGGTTAATTGCGACTTGAAACTCAGTGACGCCGTAGGTGATATGGACATATAGATGAATCCTTTAATCTTTGTACCGATCGATTTAAATCTATTGTTATTATTTGATATATTCTAAGTGAATTTGTAATAAAATGTATATATTTATGAAATCTTAGCATATACTTTCTAATAGATTACACACGATATAAATATTTTTACTGATACGTACTCGATTATTAATAAGGTGCTGTTATTTAACAACAGTCTCTGGTTATTATTATTAATGTAAATATAGAAGGTATACTGTTTCTTATTATTTAATATACGACAAACAGACAACATTTACGCAATGTCTTTTAAAAAGCTTGGTATAACAGCTTTCGCCGTTTGATGGCATCTTACGTACAAGTGTAATAATACTCATATAAATTTCATATTTAAAAATTATACTTGACTTATCTTCCTCAACCTATCAAGTGTTCAAGTTAATAGATTGTGTAAAATTGAATTATGATTTGAAAACTTATTAAAAAAAAAATTGTTTAAAAATTAAGGGATAGTCGTTGCCTTATTTAGTTAATATTGTTTCGTGACTATAAGAAATATTGTAGATACATAATAGTAAGATAGAATAATAAGCGAATACTTATAATGTAGATACCAGTGCATCATTTTGGCCTATTGAAAATAAATAATTTGGTGTCGCAAACTTTTTACTTTCTGTTTCTCCCTAAACAATTGCATAAAAACTATTTCCATGGATATGGAATAATCGTGTCTGTTATATAGATTAATTAACTAAGTTTTCTCTTCAGTGTTTTAATTTATTGATGATAGATCACCATGAATGATTGAACGAAAGTCCAATATTCTGTTTATATTAGTCTAATCACGAAGAAAAAGAACCCATGTGACGAGATTGTCTTTCCCAACTTCCTTGTACATCCTATCCTATCCTGATTTAGGGCCTGTCCCACCAAATTGTAAAATGTCTGATAACAATCGAACATTAAAATATGTGATAGAATTATCGGATTTTGTTCCCTTGTCTGACAGAGACGTCATTTTTAAGCTATCTAAGCATGTCAGGCAGTGGTGGGACAGACCCTTAGTCTAATATTGCAGCAACCTAGTACTAATATATAAACATAGGTGCCATAATCAGCAGCTAAATAATTTATCTTTCCCAAAGAAGTGATTAGTAATTACAATAAAAATTAATTAAATCTTTTAATAATTTTTAATCTTTAACAATAATTTGTTATTGTGATAATATAACTTGACATGGTGTTGAGCAGTTCATTTTGAAATCAAAATAAATAAATATGCAAAATCATAAAATCGTTTGAACTTAACACTATGGAGTGTTAAGGAAATTACGATCTTGCCTTGAGTTACAACTGCAACACATTCAAAAGTGTTAGACTAAAAAGAGGTTAAATATAAGCATTCAAAAGATTTCTTCGCACAATTATTGTTATGATGTGGAGGCTTTCTGAGGCTCAGCCTGTGCTTGCATCTTCATTTCCATCATCATGCAAATAGCATCCTTTACTTTTGTCTTCTCTATACCGAGAACTTGTATTTTTTCCATCTGTTCCGTCACAAATTGGACTTTCCGTTTAAAGTAATCTTTAGCCCCATCTATATCCTGTAAAATTAAAATTTTTCATTTTTAAATTATTTCAAATACACAGTCACATTATAATCAGATGTAAATCCTTTCTTCTGAATCAAAGCTTAAATTTTATCAATACAACTTGCTTTTGCTCACTATTCCATCTACATAGAATTTAAAAGCAGATGCGTTGCCTACCCTTCATTGAAGGAGGAGAAGACGCACAGAAAGAGGATATTTACCCTTCCTATGTGTCTCCACCATCAAATCCACTTTTCCTTGCCATCCTTTCCTCTTAAGAAAAGAGGGAAAAGGGAAAGGGACAAAAATTAGGCGTCCGGCACCATACTCCTAAGACGAAATGCGGAATTGCTTCCACTTCACGCCTATTTTCTGTGTGGTCGTGGTATTACACCGGGCGAGCCGGCCCATTCGTGCGAAGATGTTAAAGCGGGCTCTACCACTATGCTTCACATCTATACTAAATTTAATCAAGATCCTTTAAACAAACTCCATCTAAACTTTCACATTTTAATATTAGTAAGTTACATTAAAATTCATTAGTATCAATATGTTTTTATTCAACTTTTTACCACAAGCCATATGAGCCATGGTCGACTGACTTACCTTTTGTGCATAGTATCCAGTTCCAATGTCAATAATAACATTATCTGTATCTGCTATTGTTCCAGACACATACATAGAGCTAGTCAGAGGAACAAGGATTGTCTTTCCCTTCGTAGATGGTGTTAACTTTTCTACAGTTTCTCCAGAGTCCACAAATTTACCTTGTGCTATCTTTAGAGCTTGTAAAGACTCTTGGAAAACTTGAAGATCCTATAAGAAAATAAATCGTACGTTAAAGTTATTGTTCCTTGTAACACTAAAATCAGATATGAATAGAAATTTACTTACATGATCCACTTGCTGTTTGAGCTGGGCCAACTGGTGAAGATTTAGCTTTGAGAGGTCAATCTGCTGCATTCCCGGTGCCGGAGCCATTGAAACCGAAGCCATATTGGTATAATTATAGTTTTTGTAGCCCAAGAATTCCAATTAACATTAATTTATCAAATCAATTTTCACTGCATAATTCTAACCTCAAGTTCTTATATTCCGAAAACAACAATGTTCACGAAAAAGAATTGCTCATTTCAAACTTTAAAAGGAGAGGCACAGATAACGTAGGTACCAACCATAGAAAGCAACGCAATGCACAGAATATATTTATTACAACTTGGACATAGACTTTGTGAAATGACTTACTTTTAATCTGTATCATTTATTCTTTGTTTGGTGCAAATGTAACTGCAGTTCAGTGAAAAAAAAAACCAAAAGAATCCAAGAAAACTCAAGTTATCGCAAAATAGGAGTTTACAAAATACTGAATAAGACGGTTGGAATTATTGAAGCAAATAAATGTAACCAGGAAAAACGTTTCATAAATTTTCAGACATAGTTGTATAATTTGAATAACATAACTCTAACCTCGTTACACAATGTCTGTTATTAACTTGCAAACAGTCGATGATTTTGTTAGTTTCATTGGGTGAGATTTCTTTTATGTATTATTTATTTTATATTGTTACATAACCTCTGTATGTATATAAAAGACAATAGTATAATAACAAACAGTGAGTTATATATACTGTTTATTTTAAAAATCCAATATTATTTTCTTAAAAACTGAAAACAACATTTCCTTACAGGCCAATTAGATCTTTAATATTCTCTTTTGAATCTTTGTCTATATGAAGAAACAATAAATGTTAATGAATTGTTAATTCGATCTACATGTCACCGCTAGATTCATTATTTGGTTCAGAGTTAAAAACATAATGTTGCAAAAATAAATTAAATAAAAGAAAATGCAAATTTTTCAGCTCACCCCAACTAACGGTAGTACATTTTTCCACCGATTGGGCAGAACAATGCCCTCAAATAACTGCAGTGCTGGAAGAACTTTCTGCCCTTCCCGAAATCAAATCAAGTGGTAGCAAATTTGGAGCTTGTGATGCAGAAGGTCTTTCAGAAATCTCACTTAAATATAAGGTTTGTAATATACTTTTCTGATATGAGATTATTGAACATAGGATCTTGATGAAAATATTTTATTGTATATTAAAAAAAATATGAATGACCCTGCTAAAAATGTTCTGTCTAAAATTTGCAGCAATAAAATTCAGATAAGCAATAATGCAAAAAAGTTACAAATAATAATCTCAATAGATAAGATATTGGTCATACATTAATAGATAACCCACAAAGCAAAACAATTAAAGACAGGTCAAACTTAAAAGAATCTACAACTTTTCATATGAAGTGTGTATGACCTAAAGTTGATTAGTAACATTCCCAATTCCAGTAGGATCTTTGTAACAAAGTGAACTTGTAGGATGAGGCGGTGAAACTTTATATGTTAAGCTAAAGTGTAGTTGTAATAAAATTTGAACCTATTACAATGTTTGCAGGTTGATTCAGTACCAACAGTTATATTATTTAAAAATGGATCCCAATTAGATAGGGTGGATGGGGCTGATGTGTCACAAATTACTTCTAAAGTAAAAGCTCAAAGTCTTGGTAAATCTGCACCTGCTACAACAGCTAAAGCACCACTGAAAGAAAGACTTGAATCCCTTATCAATAGGCATAAGGTGATGATTTTTATGAAGGGTGACAGGCAAAAACCAAGATGTGGATTTAGCAGAACCCTTATTGAAATAATGAATGAAACTGGGTATGTAGAAACATTGCAAGTGTGCAGTTACACATTTTGAACTAAATATTAAGTCATTTCAATTCTGCATGATAAATTAATAAATAAATATATTTTTTATCTTTACAGAGTACCATATGACACTTTTGATATTCTAACTGATGAAGAAGTCCGTCAAGGTCTCAAAGAATACTCTGATTGGCCAACTTACCCACAGTTGTATGTAAAAGGCGAATTAGTTGGAGGTTTAGATATAATTAAGGAAATGAAAGCTAATGGTGAATTAGAATCTACTTTAAAGGAATAATGTGTTCATCTGGTGTAAAATTTTATTTATTAAATAAATAATTTGGGTACATGGGTTTGCTCTTACTTAAATTTTTCCTTAAATCCGCTGATTTTGATAGATTTTTGCAATCAACTCAAATTCAACAGTTAATGATACCAGTATACTGAATACCTGGATCTCTAATGTCCTTTATGTAATGAAAATTTATTAAAAATCACCTTGTAGGATTAAACTGTCCTTTTTCTCATTAATTTGGCAAAAATTGTATAAGTATTGAAAATTCATAAAATATAAGGACAAAACACAGACACTCCCATTACTCTGTGGTTGCAGACTTTTATCTGTCAATGTCATTTTTTATTGACATTTTATGTCAACAAATCATTTGACTTTGAAGTTCTGTTTAGATTTTAATTTACATGATTGTGTATATGATTTGATTGTAAATATTTTGTTGACGTGTGCAACAATTTTCTATTGTGGTTGTTCCAAAATAGGAAAAAAATGGACAAACCAAATTCTTTTCGTGCAGGTATGGTTATCATAGCGCAGCGAACCATAGCTGTTTCCATACTAATCTTTTCTTCTATTAAAGACATGTAAACTACAGTTTCAGAAATGTTGAGTAAAGCAAGGACCGCAGGCGACGGCATGGAATCGGTCGATAGTGTCGTTGAAAATAAGTCGAAACCAGAATATAAGCGTAACGTGTCAACTAACAGTACCGATTCACTTTTACCTGCACGTCTAATTCAGCTGTATCCATCTAAAATAGTGACATCAGAGAAGAAAACGTCACATGTTTACTCTAAAAGTCCTAAATTCGTACCATACGAACCTTATCCTGGTGCAGTCAAGCCAATTACTTCACAAGCAAAGTCTAAGAATACAAAGAAATCAAAAAATAACATGGATATCAACACATTGATATCTCAGATGTCACAAATGGATACAAATTTAAATGAATACAAACCAAGACCAAAGTTAGCGTCTGTTAGTGATAAATCTGTAACAGATATTGAAAAAGATGATACTCATAATGATTTGAAGAAAAAGCTTGAAGAAGCACAAAAAGAAACTGAAACATTAAAAGAACAACTAAAACAACAAGTTCAGGTACAAATTATAAATATTCAAGTATACTAAATTATGGGATAAAAGGCAAAGATCTATACCCTAGTAAAGCAATTTAAATAAAACTTACTAGAATTTAAATCATACTTTGTGTTAAGTTAATGTTTTCAACAGTGTGTTTTAAAAACCTAAATTTTCAGGTGAATAAGGAACTGAAAACAATGTTAGTTGCATCAATGGGAGAAGACCTTGAAATTCAAGTCCAGTCACTAAATGAAGATAAAAAACATCTAGCAAATGCTTTGATTAATACTGCACAACACCTTTCAACACATCAGGTATTTTAATATTTACACTATAGCAGTTGCTTGCGACTGTCCATGTGAATAAAATAAATATAGCCTATATTACTCAGTGGTTCCATAGCTTTTTAACAGTGAAAAAATTTTTTGATATTGGCCCAGTAGCTTTTGAGTTACATATTTCACTACATACAAATCCAAAAATACTAATTTTTCCTCTTTATAATATTAGTATAGATATGTATGTGTAAATTCCTTACATAAATCACTCTTATTATATTAATTAGGAATCACAGCAAAAATTACAGAACATTTTTCAAATTAAAGAGACATTTTTATCTATATTAATATTGGTTTTTAACACTTTGCAGGAACAAACAGAGTGGCTTGCCGGACAGTGTGAGGTATGGAGGAGTAAATTTCTTGCTAGCAGGTAGAAAATAGTAGTAGTGTTTGATTTTTAATTAATATTTTTATATTTAGATATTAAAGTGGTTTCTTTTCTTAGTTTAATGGTAGAAGAGCTGGCTAATTGCAAGAAGTTACTTAACGAAAAAACAGTGAATTTGCAACAAGCAATTAAGAATTTGTTAGACGAGAGATGCCGCACAAGGGATATGATGCTAAGTACATATAGAAATTTATACAGTCTTCATGAGAAATGGCTAGAAAATATAGCAATATCAGACTATATCAGTAATACAAAGATATATAGTAGACCAATAGGGAATTTAAACTTCACAGCAACATTGCCACATTCAACAAACATTTTAGATATGGCATCAGTTAATTTGAAGCTATCAGAAAACATTAGTAGTTCAGTTGAGAAGCAAGATATTAGCCATTTTAATATTTTACCATCGGCTACTGAAGCGGAATTATATGCTGAGAATGTAAGTATTTATAAATAAGTACCTCTAAGGGCCTGTCCCACCAAATTGTAAATTGTTTGATAACAAACATGTAAAATATGTTATGAAATATCGGATTTGTAACCTTATCAGACAGTGACGTCATTTTTAAGCTATCTTTTTGAGCTATAGAGCCTCTATCAGCCAGTGGTGGGAGAGGCCCTAAGTTGCATAAATATAGCTAACTAGCGGTTTATTTTGTGGCTGCATTTGTTCCGGGCGTTCTGTGAAACAGTTGTGGCGAACATAGCTAATATATGGGGGCATGCTGGTATCCACTAGTATTTCTAATGGTAAAGCAGTTGATATTAAGTCTATAGTGTATAAATTACAAACAAAAATACAAATCTTTCCTTTTTCTGTTAATATGGATAGATTACTTTGTTAATTGTCTTGTTTTGTCTCTCTTAAAAATGATTTTTGAGTCTAACTTCTCTCCCTGTCTCATATTCATCTACTAGATTTAGTTGGTCAGTTTTTAACTAAAGTTAGGTTATGTCCTAGTTATTATGATCAATGCCACTTTCACTTTACTCTGTGAAAGTGTTAGTGGCATTACAGGTGTAATTTTTTTATTAGGTAATGGCAATGCCACTAGAAATAAAGAGAGCGAATGAAGATCCAGTGAATGCATTAGTTAATCATGCATACAACAACAGTAATGTGTCTCCGCCTGTCGCCTCCTGTGTCCACTGCAATGGAAGAGTACAATTATTATAATTTTACATGGAAAAATAGTGATGGAATATTAGTTTGCTCATTGTGTTTAGTTTGTAAATAATCAGGATATTGAATAAACAGGGGAATTTATTATAAACACATAATTTCTACTCATAAATGGGGTAAGTTGTAATGATTTACTTAGTATTAGTTTTTTGATGAGTAATTTTGTCGTACCATCTTTCTGTGTAAAAGTTTTCTAATTTTGTTTGCATAATATTTAAAAAAACAAGTATACCAGTTTTAAAGTAGTTTTTAATTTAATTTTTTGTAAAATAATAACAGGCGATTAGTTAATTATGTTTTGAGAGTTGTAAAACTCATTTATCTTTAGTTCTTGTTATGAAGTCAAAGGTAAATTTAGAGTATAACAGAATTATTTTTAGTAGGCAATTTGTTGCAAGATTATGAATGATGCAATATATTCTCAAGATTTGTGATGTTTTATTACTTGAATTGTGTAATAATGACATTACAAGAGAATAACATATTAGTAACAAATCACATAGATTTCTGTTATGTGTTTTTAATGGTTTTTATCTTCAATTTCTGTATAAGTCGTGCAAAAATAATGTCATTGGACCTAAAAAAAATATCTTAATTCATATCATTCTTTAGGTCATGTATATTAGACCTATAGATATAATTTTATCCTTATTTAAGATGTTTTCTTAAAGTGTAACAAACATGATAATTCTTTGAACTTTGTTTTTAAAATATTGTAAATTGTGTGGTTGATGTTATATGCAAGTAGAAAGATTACTTTAATAGCAACTCACATCCCAATATAAACAATATTATTAATATTAAAACTATTTTAAAAGTGGGCCTTAACACTACTTAGAGATGTAACAGGGGATACTGTATCTTTTTTTTTTCAAATTATTGATAATAGTATAGATTGTTTCACATGCTTTCGTAGATTTTGTAAACTTTTGATACCAAATTATTCAAAATGCAACCTTTGTATCTGATTTTTCTTAAAGTGTATTTGTTAGGGGTTTGGTGTCTTTTTTGATTTGTTTTCATCTTATATTTCTTTTAAATATCTCAGTTGCCAGTGAAATGTCATTCTCCAATACTACTGTAATTTGATATTTTTTTCCAAAGTATTTTTATATAATTTAGTAAATGTATAACAAGACTTCTTTTTTTTATGTATGTTGTGTTCACGGTTGTGACTGTTCAAAATATATTTTGATTTCATTAGTTTTAAACAAAATTTTGTTGTGAGTAATCTTTTTCGATCACATTCGAGTTTGTTATTTATTGTTTTTTTTTTAACACAAATAAATATACACTTTGAACACTAATCTTTCGAAACATGTTTGACGGGAGAATTAGTGTTTATGAAGAAATTGTCAATAGCTTTTGGTACTTGGTCGTACTTACAGAAACGTATTTAGTGCATAATCTAACACAAGTACTAATTTTATTGTTAAACAAATAATACAATAATTTATCAATATAGAAAATCTTTATTATAAAAACACTGTAACAATTACTTTGTAAATATGTATTTATTATTTTTAAAATAAAAAAAATCTTATCACAATGTACGTTTTACATTTTGAGACAAAGGTCATACCTTCAGCCACGTTTAGAGAAGATTGTTTGACTATTAACTCGTCTTTACTTATTTGAATGGTAATACATTATTTTTTTATTGAAATTACGCTGGTTAAGTTAATACATGATTCTTTCTGTGAACTATCTTCTAATAATTAGGCATGGGGTTTAACAGCCGATGATCTAGTCTAGATCAAGGTGGAGGGAGTGTACTATTAAAATGGTCTCATTTAAAGTAGTTTTTATATCTATTTTAGATTTTTCCACTCTAGAGATCCAGTTCACCCAACAAAAACTAAGTGGACCCTACAAAAGTACAAATGGTATCACAGTACATTACAAATGATACAATACATGCTCAACGATATAGTAATATTAGTATAGACGAAGAATTAAATACACTACCCACTTAGAATCAAATATCGAAAGCAATCTGTCGACATAATAGCTAGGATTTAGCTCGTTTACATGCTGTGACTAGTTCTCGATTTAATTTAATTTCGAACGATAAATGTTATTTCACTAAAATGGGTAGGTAATAAAATTCCTCGACTGTACATATAATAATGAACTACAAGTGTAAACGATTGTAGTAATGCAGTACTTCTTCGCCGGTGTAGTTGTACGCGAGGTAATCCTTTACCGAGACGTATTTGGCGCCGCCGAACCAGTCCACCATCGCGATCTGAGCTATCTTCATCTTAGCAACGAACCAGTTGTGATCTATAGGAAATAACACATGTTAAATTACCTAATATACCTAAAAAATTAAGCTTAATTAGATCACGAACCAGGGGGAAAATGCGCCATAGCTGGGTGCCTTTCGAATAACGCGGCTTTAGCGAACTTGTACTCCTCGGAACCATCTTTGACCTGAAACGATATTTTATCGCGTATAGATTAGTGTAGTGTAGTGTAGTTTATTATTTAAGTAGCTAATCTAAACTTAATTTTTAAAACGTAAACACATGCTTTTTTGTTATGTAACATGTTAGCAATCACAGCATATTTTTTTTAATAATTATTTATTAATTAAAGCCCTACACTTACGAAACGCTTAAGGATATATAGTTATACGCTATTAAACTTAGTTACGAGTAAATTGCAAATAAATGTGATGCGTGAAAAGGACAAAAGCTACAAGCTGACAACATCCAAGAAGCAAGGTTGCTATGGTAATGATAGTTTGTATTTAATGTCAAAGACCTTCGTAGTCATTTCTGCTGAATATATTTGAATTTAAGTATTTGCAATTGAAAGTTTTACGAAATAAACAAAATAAAATACAGTTTTTGTAAAAGTGCTGTAATCAATTTTGTTATTGTTGATAAATTGTTATAAAACTTATATTTTCCAATTACGGATGTACTCTTTAGTGAAATGTATGCGAATTTTGTTATAAATTTTTTCTCTCGATAATATTAGATTAAATGTAAGTGTACTATAATCTGATTAGACGAATAACTCAAGATAATTAAGATAAAAATTATCACAATAGCTTTTTGTAATTAAAATATAAATAGTATTGTTTGAGGTTGAGGTCTTGAGCGATCTATTATCATTTGCAAGATAGCGTAGTTGATAATGGGGACGTGTGTTAACTCATGTAGTGCCAATGTAAACACAGCTCAGACGATAACTACGGCTTATCTGAACAAACGTTGCCAGGGTTTTTTATGTAATTTAATATTAAGAAATCAGCGTCGATGCGTTTGAACACATGTGCGAAATTCGTGATCAAGATAAAATGCATTGTCGTTGTGATGCAATACTATAATTATAATTTTAAAACTCTGTAGTAGTTGCGAAGCTTATTTCGTGTTCTTTAAAAATTATATAGGAATCTGATAGTAGTTATAAACACTTTTTATTTTAACGTCTACACTGACATACAAGTCGCAATAAATGTTTGCTTATTTCCAATCTTAAAAAAGTTCCGTAGACAACAAATCTTCTAATTAGGTTTACTGAAATTAATTCTAAAGAATGAGTTTTAGATTCAAATTTCACTGTGTAACACAAGAATACGGATTTGTTAATGGTGTAAAGAATATACTATAAAACGACATATAAATATGTTAGTTTGTCTAAATTACCTTCCTCATTTTGCCCGACAACATAAGCCGTGTGCAGCGCGGGTCCTCAGGGTCCCACTTCTGGCTCTCGCAGTATCGAGTCTCTTCAAGGGACACGAGAACTGTTGCACGTGTATTTTTCTGTTAACACACCAGTGTTATTGTCACCTAGAGTCTCTTAATTGTTACTTTACCTCCTTTACTAAAACTACGATATGGAATATTTTAAAGTCGCCTGTCATGTGTATAAGGCGAGGCTAGGCTAGGCCGAATTATCAATATTTCTTTTGCTGTAATAATGTCTAGAATTTGTAAATATCCTTGGAAATGTGTATATGTTATTAATGAAGCTAATTTTAGAATGGTTTCAAAAATGTTAGGTAATTCTTACCGCTAAATCGCGTGCAGTAAAGTCCAACGGGGACATATAGAAGTACGGCATGCCGGTAGAATTGGCCATAGAACCGTCCACTATAGATTTTACATTTGTAAAAGGAAAGCCCGAGATAGCAGGTTGTGTTGATATGGTAGCGATGGACGCCCAATCTGTCAACAAAAGGTATCTTTTCAAGACTGTAATGCAAACTGCAACTACATATTTGGGTTAAAAGCGTGAATTATCATAACATTCAAGTGATTCATTAGCTTTCGATATGTTTTTAAGTCATCAATGCTTATTTTAAAGACAAAAATGTACAAATCCTAAGTTTTTATAGTCTTCCTAGATCAATATAAGGTTTAATTTTTGCTAATATAAACAAAATGCCAATATGAATCTTTTTTCGAAATCAATGTAGTACACTTTATCGCGTACTTTCACGAACTTGGCATATTATTAGGTATTCCAAAATGCCAGTGTTATCGTAAATATGCGAACATTGGCTTGTGCAGTTGAATTTATTGTACAAGAATGTCGAGAATAACCGCTATGCTTTCTGAATGCATTTTACCCTACTTATTTTTGAATGTTGACAATTATTTATCCGATACTTTATGCTTGACCTTAAAATATAATTAGCTAAATGTATATGCAAGAAACAGATGATTTAAAACTTGCCGATTACAAGATTGGGAAAAGATTATTTAAATTTTGTTTAGCAGTGTTGGGACTATTTCGGAACAATCAAATATTTTGTCGTAATTTTTCGATAGATCCTAATTATACTTTACCACAGTTATGCATCACATATCTTGCCATCTCAACCAGTTTGTTGTGATCAGGTGGACCTGCACTATTGTGGTGGGATATTCTAGAAGAGATTTCGTTCTCATTGTCTTCCAGATGTCGTTTGCTAGCCCAGGATTCGGATCCATGCAAGCTTAGGCATACTGCCATAATTAACAACGTCCACTTCATTTTTATTTACTTTAATTATGCTGTAACAATGAAATTAAAATGTATTAAAACATTACAATCATGATAATTTATTTGGATCCGACAAATTTAATGCAAACTTTGTTTTTTCGTTTTTCAATATCGTTAAGTATTTTAAAATACGAAAACATTGTGTATGTTGATTACCGTACCCTTTTTTTCCTTATTGTTGGGATTTTCCTGTTGTAAGGGCAAACACATAACATAGCAATAAATTATTTAAAAATTTATGAAACTAGTTTAGTGGAGTTTTGACTTGAATTCTAAAAATTCTGTCCTAGTCCAGAGATTGATTTTCTTTTTAATATCTAGTTCAAAATCGGTGATCTTAAGTCATTACGTCAATTGTTAGAAATATGCTTTCTATTCCAACTTCTACATGCAAAATAAAATAGTAACGAAGAAATAAAAACTGACATTGAACTAACAGTTTCCAAGCAAAGTTTATAGGAATTAGCATAAATTAACACATCTGTGAATTGTATGTGTTTTAAAAACAATTAAAATGCAAAACACGCCGTAATGTTTTGATGATTCCAAGTTGAATGTCACGTAGGTACGTATTCCTTGAATTAACTGCAGATGGAAAGTAACGAGTTTGCTAATTTTATAAAACTAGTTTCGTAGACGAAACCGAACATATACATATAAATGAAAAAGATTATAAAATTTGTTACCTTATGATATTTCAGTTGTAAAAAAATTAATTGAAATAACTCTGTTACGATTCCCTCTAAATATTACGTGAGTATATTGGTCTTAAAACTACCCTCCAATTGACGCGTGGTTTAATACCTTCAAAAACAGCCATATTAAATCCAATAGCAGACTGAACTTAGAATGTTAAACAATTGCAATATAGTCTCATATCTCTATAAACATTAGCCTGTCGCTTTTATAAACATAAGTGCAGTTCACAATGTTTTGCCAACCAATGAACACGTGGTGAATCAAATTTAAAAAGACGAATACATGTTTTAAACTTAATAAATTAGACGTTTGAATAGTATCTCCGACGAACATAACGTAAGGCATATCACTAACCACTGACCCATCGGAGCTTTTTAATCTACTCTACAGATTAAAAATACTTTATTCGAAAATTGTCATATGTGTTTAAATGTTCCTTGCAAAAATTGCTGTGCAAAATGTGAAATAAAAACAGAAAGACGTTGGCAATGGCAACGTGTTTATAACCTTATTGCTATTAGGAAATGTAAGGTTAAAATTACCAGTTCAATTGTTTTTTAACCTTAACATTGTTATTATAAAACAAAAGAATATGCACACTTTTGAATGCACTATTCTTTATTTCGATTTCATTTAATATCTATCTTGATAACATTTAAAAAAAATGAATCAATTTTAAATTATGATCAGTGTTCTTTGTTTAGTATTTTTTTAACTTGCATTGCTAATTAATAGTCGTTGCCAAGGTCATTTTAGAATTGATATCTAGATAAAAAGTGCTAAATATTACTAGTTATAAACAAAGAATTGCAATATTACTTTCGGCAATAATTAAAAGCCGAAATAATTACATTTTATATTTAAAGCGGAACAAAAGTACATAAAAGTATGCATTACCTTATAACTACGTAGTTACAGTATTCGCTTATGTATAAACACAGATCACTGCCAATAATACTAATTATATTTCACCGAACGACCTAACATTCGGTACTGCACGGTGACAAGTCAGAATTGAACTAAACGCGCTTTTCAAAAGTGATAAATTATTGTAGTAAGCAAGTAGTGAGTAGAGCGGGTAAACGATTGAAACTGTCACTGTCAAAAATGACAAGCATTTTGACATTATCTTTTTTAATTTCCCTTTCAGGCCTAGCATCTATTACTTTAGGGTATTGTTTACATTAAAATGCGAGATTGATTTTGGATCGGCATTCCTTACCAGATTTTAATTTAAATCAAACTGTTTGAATAATTCACCATAATTAACTAAAATGTTAGAGCTTTGCCATTTCAAGCTATTTACATTTCAGCACAATAAATAAATATACGCATGTATCGGTATTTAAATTGAAAGAATAAGGTGAATAAAATACACAATTTTGTTTATTCAATAGTATTTATTGAGAAAATATGATAATATATTTATGTAAAAGGTATATTATCGTTGCTGTGTGCTCTTGGCTATCTGTTCCTTGAGCATGAGTATGCTGGCGCGCTGCTCGGGCGGCAGGAGCGCGATCTGTTCGTCCGATAGCTGAAGGACTTGCATTATTAACGCCGCCTGCGCAAAGTTATTAGTTTTACAAATATTGTACACTAGTTGTTGCTGGCGACTTTGCCTGCGTAATATTAAAAAAACAATAAAAAACATAGCCTATGCCTTTAACAGTGAAAGAATTTTCGAATCGAATCGAAATAGTTTTTGAGTTATTTCAAAACATTCAAAAATCCAAAAATCCAAATCTTTCCTCTTTATAACATTAGTATAGATAAAGATTAGTGTCGACAGGAGTATACCTTATTTTGTGATAAAAAAAGGAGTATTAAATTGTTTCTAACTTTTCGCAAGACATTTTAAACTAAATGTTAGTAGTTAAATCAATGGGACTTAATAATCTATGTAATATATTAAAAGAAAATTATTGGGTGTTTCATATAATAAATTACATAGAAAATATCGCATTTACCATAAATATTTAGCACATATTGTATTAACGTTTTGTTCATTTTAACTCTGAATAATATGTATGGCTTACCTTTTCTTGATCCGAAGCACCGGAAGGTATTCCCTGTATTGTCCTGGCCTGAGCTACACTCGGCATGCCGGGGGGAAGTTGTTCTACAACAAAGTATAAACAATTAAATTATTTCACCACTAGCCTTGTCCTGTGCCACTTCATGCACATATTATTTTTTTTTTAAATTTTCGTGAGACTTATAATTGCATATGTCAAAATTAAAATGGTTAAATGACCATGAATGTGCCTTTGGCTAACAATTACTATTACCATGCCAATCATGTTTCTTTGGTCCTTTTGTATTGCAGTTGTAGTTTTTGTCCCTTTCTCGGATGACAATTTTTTTTAATTAACTCACTTCTTAAATAAAATGTGTATCCTATAACGAAGTGTAGGGCTTTTTATGAAAGAATACAATTTAAAAACATGTTGTGATTGCTGCCATTCTACATCACAAAATGTGTGTTTACTAGCTTTCGCCCGCGACTCCGTCCACGTGGAATTAAAAAATACAAAAGTAAATAGCATATGTGTTCTTCTAGACTATCGTTTACGTTTATGGCAAATTTCATTGAGAATTGTTTACCCGTTTAGGCTACAAATGCTAACAAACATCCATCCATCCATCTAAACTTTCGCTTTATAATATCACTAGCTTTCGCCCGCGACTGCGTCCACGTGGAATTAAAAAAATACAAAAGTAAATAGCATATGTGTTCTTCTAGACTATCGTTTACGTTTATGGCAAATTTCATTGAGAATTATTTACCCGTTTAGGCTACAAATGCTAACAAACATCCATCCATCCATCTAAACTTTCGCTTTATAATATCACTAGCTTTCGCCCGCGACTCCGTCCACGTGGAATCAAAAAAAACCAAACCGAGTAACCTAAGTGTTCTTCCAGACTATTCTCTACGCATGCCAAATTTCATCAAGATCCTTTCAGCCGTTTAGGCTACAAACTCTAACAAACATCCATCCATCCATCTAACTTTCGCATTTATAACATTATTGGTAAGATAGAAGTATAAATAGATAATTCAAAATTAAACATATTAACAGTTAAAATCGCTTACGTGGCATTTTTTGTGTGCGAGGATCGTTGGGTCGCACGCGGGGGTCCGCATTGAATCCCTGTGCGTTGGCGAGGCGCGGGTCGCGCGGGAACATACTAAAGTATTAAAATCAATAAATTAGGTCTAGTTCACTAGAATATTCTAATACTAAAAACATTCGCAGGTGTTTAACTATTACATATTGAAATACAGTATGAAACCCACATTTTTAATAATTCCATTATATTCTTATTCATTGTTGTAGTTTCTTGATTTATAACATATTTATTGTTGAATTTTGGATTTGCTGTAAAGACCTTAATTAAAATATGACACAACAACAATATGATTCAATTAATATTAACTTACATAACTTTTGTCTCCTTAGGAACGGAAGGACTAAAGAGAAATTTGAATTTATAACAAAACTTTAAAAATTATTTAAAAAACAGACTTTATTGTACTCAACAAATTATATCACTTTAATTTCATTACGTATTAACAATTTTTATTTCAAGTATATAAAAAATCTAATAGAATAGTTTCTTTGTAAATCAAATGTTACGCTCAGCATTAGTTGAAGAAGGGGAAAAATAGTCAATGGGCCAATCGGTCCAACAGGAAACACACAAGTATTAAACACATAAAATGGTAAAATACTTGTCTTGGTTGATGGGCGGGGGCACGGGGTGCGGCGGGTGCGGCGGGTGCG